GGAGGGGGGTGGGTGGCATCGCCATCCCCAATATTTTAGGGGAGACCCCAGGTTATGTCCCCCTGCTGCCCCCCCTGTACCGGTGCCATCCCCCATGGGGGTGTCCCCACCCTCCTTGGGGTGGCGGTGCCCCCACTGTCCCCCTCCCCGCGCTCACGCTGTCCCCCACAGTGGTGTTTGGGGAACACTCCCTCCTTGTCACCGTCTCTGGACAGAAGCTCTTCGTGGTGAAGCGTCAGAACCACGTCCAGGAACCTGTGGCCGTCTGAGACGCCGTCCCCCGCTGTAACCAAGCCGGGGGGATGGGTCCCCCACGTTCCCGCTGTCCCCAGGGCCTTGTGGGGGGAGAGGGGATCCCCTGTCCCTGCAGCAACACCCACTCGTGTCTCTGTCACCTCAGGGGGCCTCAGGGTCTGGTCCCCCACGTCCCTGCAGTCCCCTGTGCGCCTCAGGGCCCTGCAGTGTCACCCCCCACGCACACTGTCCCTCTGTTGAGGCAATAAATTATAGAATCATAGAATCATAGAATCACAGAATCGCGTGGGGTTGGAAGGGACCTCTGGAGATCATCTAGTCCAACGATGTCTCCAACGATGTCTCCAGAGATGGAGGCTCCACCACCTCCCTGGGCAGCCTCTCCCAGGGCTCTGCCACCCTCACAGGAAAGAAGTTCCTCCTCGCCTTTAGGTGGAACTTCTTATACTCAAGTTTGTGACGATTTCCTGTTGTCCTGTCCCTGGGCACCACTGAAAAAAGACTGGCCCCATCCTCCTGACACCCACCCTTGAAGTATTTCTAGGCATTGATCAGATCCCCCCTCAGCCTTCTCTTCTCCAGACTAAACAGACCCAAGTTCCTCAGCCTCTTCTCGTAAGGGAGATGCTCCAGGCCCCTCAGCATCTTTGTAGCCTCTGCTGTCCCCTCTCCAGCAGTTCCCGGTCCTTCTGGAACTGGGGAGCCCAGAACTGGACCCAGTGCTCCAGATGGGGCCTCCCCAGGGCAGAGCAGAGGGGCAGGATGACCTCCCTCAAAGTTCTCCACGCTCTTCCTGATGCCCCCCAGGATGCCATTGGCCTCCTTGGCCACCAGAGCCCATTGCTGGCTCCTGGGCATCCTGTTGTCCACCAGGACTCCCAGGTCTTTCTCCTCAGAGCTGCTCTCCAGCAGGTCACCCCCAGCCTGTCCTGCTGCAGGGGGTTATTCCTCCCCAGGTGCAGCACCCTACGCTTGCCCTTGTTGAATTTCATTAGGTTTTTCTCTGCCCAGTTATGCCCTGGTTGCCCCCATTTGACTCCTTTTGGGAGGAAGGGGGGGGGTACAGGTGAGGTGGTGACCCCCCCAGGGTCACCCCAACATCCCCTGCCCTTCCCCAGTGCCAGCCACATCCCCATGTCCAGGCCAAGTGCTTTATTGGCACACGCGCACGGACAGTCGGCGACAAATAAATAACCAGGAGCAGAGCTGCCACCCGCGTCTGGTGGCACAGAATCGTCCCCAGCAGGGGGGGGGGGGGGGGGGGGGGGGGGGGGTGTTGGCAGTGGGCTCAGTGCCCTGGGGACAGGTCCCAGTGTTGTGTGTGTGTCCCCCACCTCCACGGCCAGGTCCTGGTCCCTTGTGCCCCCTTCCCTCCTACACACACACCAAGCAGCCAAATTCAAGGCAAGGCAGGAAGCCGGAGGGGTGTAAACAGCGCTGGGACCAGCCACAGGATGTCCCCCCGGCGTCCCCTGTGCCACCCCCAGAGCAGTGTGTGTGTGTGTGTGTCCCAGGCTGGGGACAGAGCCCCGTCCCCATTGGTCCCCCCATGGCAAATTCCAGTCCAGTCCCAGTGAAGCAGCGGGCTGCCCCGGGTCCTTGGGGGGTTGCTGTGCCCTCCCCCTGGAGCTGTCTCCTCCATGTCCCAGGTGTGCCCAGCCCTGTCCCCCCATCACACCCACCCTTCTTGAGGGGGGGTCTCCTCTCCATCCCAGGTGTACCCCATCCCTCATCCCCCATGACGTGACACCCCCACTCTCCTCCCAGCCCCTCTCATTCCAGATATCCCTTCCACCCCCCACGTACCCCCCCACGTCGTGTGTCCCCCCCACCCCAATCCCCATACCTCATGAGGTGGCTGCGGGACGGCTGCTGGTGGGAGAAGGACTGGGACCGGCCCAACCCCGCCTGGTGCCGCTCCACCAGGTCCCTCACGGCCGGGCTGCTGGGGCTGCTCTTGCGAGACACGGGCCGTGCCTCAGGAGGAGGGTTGGCCACGCTGGCCGTGAACTGCAGCTTCAGCTTCATGTGCTGGGACAGCTGGGGACAGAGGAGGGGACAGGGGAGTGGGTGGGTGATGCTGGGCCAGGACCCCAGGGTGGCCCCAGGGGACCCCAGGGTGGCCCAGGGAGGGACCCCTGAGGGTGACCAGTGGCCTCACCTCGAAGAGACCAGCCCGCAACGCCTGGAAGGCCACACGGATGGTGAGGGCACTGCCCTTGCGCGAGTAGCCCAGGTTGTTGAGCGGCGTGTGGCAGACGATGGCGTCCAGCGCCGCCTGCGTGGCTCGGCGTTCCTCCCCAGACAGCTTCTTCCCTACGGGGGACAAGGGACAGTGCCAGAGTTGGCCACCTCCAGCCAACTGTCCCCTCAACCCCCTCCATCCGTCCCCCTCTTGGCTGCCTGCCCCAGAGGTACCCCCAGCCCCTCTCCCCGAGCTCGGTGCCCACCAGCTGTGGCGGTCTCGGGCGTCCAAACGAGGCGCACGGCCAGGAAGTCCTGGAGGTCGTTGAGCAGGGTGTAGGTGACAGTGAAGCGCTGCCTGGCCCGCACCGGGGACTCGCAGGCAGCTGTCATCACGAAACGCGGCCGCTCCAGACGGATGCTCGGTAGCCTGAGGAATGGGGGGGGAGGTGGTTACCGACACACCGGGATGGCCACCGGGAACCCCATGGAGCCCTGAGGACATGGGGACAGCCTCGAAACACGAGGTTAAGGGCACAAGCAGGGGCGGGGATATCTCTGGGTCCCCTCTTCGGCCAAGGAGGAGGACCTGGGGGTCTCTCCCCGCTTGGGGCCAGGGTACATCGAGGACCCTCGGGGCGGCTCTCACCGGTAATGCGTGTAGATGCTGCTGGTGAAGGGCAGTTTTGGCGTTGACCACTGGATCACGGCCACCAGTGGGACCTCCAAGCCCTGGGTGGGAGGATGATAGGTCAGAGATGTCCCTCTCACCAACTGTTCTCAGTAAGGAGGGTCCCCAACATCCCCGTGTACCCCCAGGCTCCACGGAAAGGACAAAATTCCCAGGGCCCAACGAGAACAGTCCCCCACAGTGAGGACAGGTGGCCCCACCTCCCAACCAAGGTGGTCTCTGCTGCCCACAGGGGAGGACAGGGACCCCTGGACAAGGACAGGGACCCCTGGACAAGGACAGGGATAGTGGCCCCTGATCCTGGCCCAGAAAACATCTCCCGACTGAGACGGTCCCTGCCCAACAGGTCCCCCCCAGGGACACGGCACAGCCCCCTCCTGAGGAAAACGGGGGGGAGCCCATGGGGTCTAGTAGACAGCACGGCAGTGCCACCGCCACCACCACCCCCCCAGGGACAGTCCCTGTCATCCCCCCCGACTGTCCCAGCGCTCACCAGACGTCATCGACCAGCAGCACGGAGCCGTCGGGCATGACGGGCAAGTAACTGGCGTTGAAGTTGGGCAGGATCTGCACGTCCCACAGCGAGATCTCCTCCTGGGACCAGCCATTGAGCACTGGGGGAAGGGGACATCAGGGGACAGCGCAGAGGATGCCGCCGTGGCCCTGACCAGCCCACGCTACGTCCTCTCCTGCTCCACATCCTCCGCTCCGTCACAGCTGCCCCACAGACACAGCCCCTGTCCCGGCCACCCCGGGACCCCTGTCCCCTGTCCCAGCCACCCTGGGACCCCTGTCCCCCGTCCCAGCCACCCCGGGACCCCTGTCCCCCTAACCCCAGGACCCCTGTCCCCCTAACCCCAGGACCCCTGTCCCCATCTCAGCCCCCCCGTCCCCTCACCTTTGAGCACGGTGAGGTACTTTCCAGACACGGTGAGCTGGCGGCATCGCACCACGGGCGGAGGCAGCACTGTCAGCAGGGTGCTCACTGCAGGGACACAGCAGTCAGGGGATATGGGGACGTGGGGACGTGGGGACACGGGGAGGGAGAGGGGGACGTAGGGACACGGGGAGGGAGAGGGGGACGTAGGGACGCTCCTACCCTGCGCCTTGAAAGCCCCCTGCTCCTGTCGGAAGACGTGCGCCGGCGCCCGGGTCTGCAGCAGGCTCAGGTACCCCCCACCCTCCTGCAGCTCGGGTGGCTCCGTATCCCTTTTCCACACCGTCACCACGATCTGGGGACAGCAGGACACGGGTGACAGCCGGCCCTGAGCTCCCTCCCTATCCTCACGGCTCCTCCTGTCCCCCACGCCCACCCCAGGTGGCTTTCCTGGAGACCCGGAGAGGGGGATGGTCCCACACCGTCCCTTGATGACTGCATATTGTCCCCCAAAAGTCCCCTCCTGCTCTTCTTGAGCTGTCCCCAAAATCCCCATGCTGTCCCTGGGGTCTTCTCCCACCCCTGAGGTCCCCTCCCACCCCTGACCCCTCCTCGGTCTCACCTTGGCCTTGACAGTGCCGGGCGGCAGCTTGTCCAGGGAGATGGTCAGGGGGAAGATGACCTCGTCGGTGGACACGATGGGGTCCTCCACCGGTATCTGGGGACACAGCGGGGTTCAGCGCCCAGGGTGGCCCTCGGCCCCGTCCCCCTCTTGTTTCCCCATCCCCTCCCCCCCCCAAATCCTCCGGTTTCCGTCCCCCCGCCGGGTCCCCCCCGGTCCCTCTCGCTCACCCCGGCGGCCGGGCGCCCCGGGGGGCCCTGGCTGTGCGTCAGCAGGGCCCGGCAGTCCCGGAAGACGGTGGGCTCTGGCAAAGCCCCGCTGCCGGTGCCGTCCTCGGTGCCCTCCGGGTCCCCATCCCGGTCCCCGCCGGTCTCTGTGGCGCCGGGGCTGACGCTGGCCAGGGCGGCCAGTGAGGCGGCCAGCTCCGCCCAGGGCGGCCGGCCCGGCCCAGTGCCGCCGCTGCTGCCGGGGCGGCAGCGGAGCACCAGGAGGAACCGCACGGTTTCGCCCAGGTAGAGGTGGTTGCGGCGGGGCAGCGCCCGGTACCGGCCCGGTTCTCCCGACAGCAGCTCCCGAGCCGCGAACGGCACCGCCGGGAAGTACATGAAGTAATCGCACTGCGACTCCATGGGCACCTGGGCCGGCCTGAGGAGCGGGGAGAACCGGGGGCACCGGGAGCGGAGCGGAGCGGGGCCGGGCCGGGTCCGGGTCCGGCTCCGCACGGCGCTACCGGAGCCACCGGGCACGGCTGCGAGAGGCGTGCGCAGGGCACGGCGCCGAGCGCCGAGCGGGGCAGCCGAGCGCCGAGCGCATCGATCACTCCTCACCCACCCCCCGAGAGGGGCGGG